GACATTTGAATGTTCAAAGCAAGAAGGGTGAGCAGGGCTGGACCTGTAGCACCGATGTGGAAAACATTTTGGTCCGAAATCCTGAAGAAAAGAAATAACTTAGGAATCCTAGGAGTAAATGTAAAACTTAAGACGACAGTCCGTGAAAGAGTGGACTGCGTCCTTCCGCTTTCTGGTAGCTTCCGGTGACCTCTAAGAGGCGGGAAGTTTGTTGAATGAAGGAAGGACCGTTGCTTCTGACGAAGGAGTCTATGTTTTTGATTCTCTAGAGGAAATTTTGCTAAATTCGACTCAGTAAGACAAACTTCTTTTCTGCATCCTCTGTTTTATCTTTCCTATAGGTATAAATTTTTTAACTATATGGAAATTTGAAAACGAATTTATCTTTCCCGAAGTCCTGTACAGCCTTGTGACCGTATATTCCTACACAGGACCCCCTGGTGGAAATCCACTCTGACAAAGTTCACGTGAAGAGTGACCGAAAGGGTATTTCCCGTTCTTGTGTGATGGATAGTTTTCTTACGGTTATGATCACAAGAATGAAAAGCATCACTGATGAGGAATGTTGACAACTTCAGCATGTTTCACCGGGTGGGCTGGGCTGTCTGTAAGTGAAGGATGAATCGACTGGGACCACATTTTTTTAATTGCTGGGAAAGCGGAAATTTTCATCAGGGTCAAGGGCATTACTGACATTGTATCATCTTCCAGCTCCTAATCATGCGTATTTTAAAATGTTTTATTTCTCCTTCACGCCTTTTGTAGCTCATACGGAAATTGGTGCCAAAGTTCAAGACCCTTCTTGGTTCAACCTCTCGAAATGCGAACTGATTATTCTAGAGGATTCAGTTTTGTTCTAGTATCGGCCGTAATCTTTTGCGCGTGGATTTTTTGAAGGTGATTCTGATTACTGGGAGTAAGCCGATCGGTCTACATGAGCTGCCTTCCTGTAGTTGTTTAGCAGGTTTCGGGAGCATTATGATCTGCTCGACTTTCCACTGAACTGGGAAATATTCCTTTCTACTAATTACTTTGCGTATAGTTGTTAGATAGATAATGTCTTTCCCTGGCATTTACTTTCGATATCCTCCCTGTAATTAGGTCAAATCCATGGGCTTTCCTTGGGTTAAGAACCTTTTGCATTATGTTTTGGATTTCCTTCTGTGTAAGGAATTTGATTGGTTGTGTTATGTATAGTCGTTCTTTCGTAGTTTTCTTATTTGTTTCGAGATCTTCGTTTTGTAGTAGTTCATTTGGTTTGAATATATTTTTTTAGTGTCCTGAAAAAGTGTCAACTTTCTTTTATCAGTTCGGGACCAGGTCTTGCCAGCGTTTATATGAAAACTTGAAGAGAAAACTTTTTCTTTGAAACCTCTAATTTAAAATGGAATAAATATCCAAAGTTGGAACTTCCTGAGCTCCAAGCCATCCGATTCCAATGCGGTTCTTTTTTAATAATAATCGATTCTCTTTCGATCTTATGGGCCAACAAATTATGCGCGTCATAAAATTTCGTTGAACCGAGAATGACATGTTCTTCATGAAATTCTGCTTACTTTCTTGTTTCGTAGTGAATGAAAATGGTTTACAAAACAAAACATTTTCAGTGCGATTGCTGAATGGTTAAATATTGTTTCGAAATTCAGAATTTTCTATGTAATGTAATAGAGATCTATGTAAAAAATTAAAAAAAAAAACGGAATTTTGAAAATTAATTCATGTCTCGAATGTTAGATGGACACCTAGGATTGCAGTCACGACCGCATTGCTGCGATTTGAGACATGAAAAGAGATTCACATAAGTATACCTCAGGTTGCACAAAGGACATGACCTTGTTGGAAATTGTATGACGTAGAAAAGTGCCTAATTATACAGATGACATCAACTGAATAATGATAATGAGGGGGAAAAAGCACAATTTCGTTCCTCTGCCTTATATAATTTTACATATATATTCTTTTTTGTTATGACCAGAGACTAAATTGTCTTCATTTTTCATTTCTGAATAAATATCCAGTGAAATAAAATGTAATATTTTATGTACATGCATATTATTAATTTAAAATTTAATTTGTATTATTGTGAAGCAGGGATCGCGCCATAGCTCAAGCGGTTAGTCGCTGGCTTCCCACCGCGGCGGCTGGGGTGCAAACCCGGGTCTGGTCAAGTGGGATTAGTGGCGCTGGGATAGGTTTTCTCCGAGTACTTGGGTTTCCCCTGCAAATCTTTATTCCACCAAATTCTCCATCATCATAATCACCCGGGGTACAATAGGTCAATCAGTGGCCGCCGTGCCGAGTGGACACAACTGCTCTCCACCCCCCACAATTAAAAAAAAATTAATTGTAAAACAGTGCTTTATTTTGAAGACAAAAGCCAACATAATTGCAAACGTTCCAAAATATACGTATATCTGAAAATTTCGCAGCGGTGAATAATTTCATTGTGTTCTTATGGATTATGATATCGTGCAGATTGGCACGTGATTTCCAGGGGCAACTTCTATCCTTTGCCCTGAGGAGGGATTTAGTATTAACGGCGTAGAAATTTCCGGTTTCACTTGAGGAGATGTTGAAATTATAATATGTTTCGGCTGGACAGACTGCCTAAAGCTCTTGACGTCTTCGCGAACTGCTTTTTCAGACCGGTTACGTATTCCTTCCTGTTCGTCATATTTTGAAATGCACCGTCACGATTTTCTGCTGAGTTGTGTAACATGAAGATGACTTTACACATTTGGTTCTCTGCAATTTTGAAGATAATATAGCTATGAGTAAATGTTTGTAAAACAGTTCACGTCGAAGAACGGAAGGCGGGGTTTGGTGGGAAGGTCCTCCATCATTGAAACCTGTCGTATTGGACATGACTGCGAATGTGCCCCCTTCCTATTAATGTTACATCAATATATTTAACAACATATTTATTGATTATCATATCAGTACAGAGGGTCGGGCAGTATCCTTACGCGTAAAGTTACGCAGAAACGATTCAAGCCGCGGAGAAGTGTCTCAGTTTTAAACCAATGTGATTATAGAGCGATAAAATGTAGGGCAAACTTAGCGGAGTAAGTAGAAAGCATATAAATAAGAAAACAATTGCATACAAATTTTTTGTCGTATATTATGAAGAGAACGCCGGTCACGGTAGCCTAGCGGTCTAAGGCATCTACTATCTTCGCTCGCTCGGAAGCCGGGATCGTGAGTTCGAATCCCACTCAGGGCATGAATGTATGTGTGCGTTTTTCTGTGTTTGTGTACAGGTAGAGGCCTTGCGACGAGCTTATCACCCGCCCAAGGAGTCCTGCCGTATGTGTAAGATCTAGTAAAACCGAAGTGAACGGAGAATTTCATGGAGATAGGCCTAGGCCCAAATGAGGGCTGTAGCGCCAATGAAAAAAAAATTATGAAGAGAACACGCAAGTCGTAAATGTAGATAGAAAGTTGATATTTCCACGTGACGAAATTAACGGGTTCGAAATATGATGAATGAATTTATTGGTGTTCCTTTACAATTACAACCAATTACAACAGCTTCCAATCAATGACTCTCTACGACTCACTCCATTCCTTGCCGGACTGCGAACGTCTTCTCTTCCACCGTTCCGAATGAAGAATTCTTGCTCACATCTGAACTGTCCCTCGAAAGCACACAAATTCACTTCTCTCTTCTGACTCATAACGACGACTGCCAGTCGGCCAGTCTCTTAGAACAAAGCACCCATCTGAGGCTTATGACCAGATTTTTATTACTGTCAGACATATGCAGGTATTTTTGAAAGTCTGAAATCTAGTTTTTATAAAAGTAGGCCTATATTGAATTCACGAAATAAGAAAACGGAAGACTAATTGGATTGGTCATATCTTACGCGGTAACTGCCTTCTAAAAGAAGTTATTGAAGGAAAGATAGAGGGGCGGATAGAAGTGACAAGAAGACGTAAGAAGATGCTGATGACCTTGGGGACAGAAGATGATATTTTCATTTGAAGGAGAAAGCTCTAGATCGCATCAAGTGGAGGAACTGTTTTGGAAGAGACTGTGGACCTGTCGTCTTGACAGATTACTGATGAATGAATGAATATTGAATTAAGTCCAAAACTTTAAATATCTGTACCGAAAGTTTCTGTGACATTCCCTGCACTTTGATCAGCTTGAGTTTTGCTGTTACGTTTATTTTACTAGTGATGTCACAAGGGCCTTGATTGAAGAAACTAGGTTGGCCTTAACAGGGGATGGTGTAGCAACATTAAGATATATAAAGGTTGTCCATGCGCTTAGCTAATTAAACACTACGTATGAAGGAGTATGGGGGGAAAGGATGTATAGATCCATATTTTTATGACCTCGGCAATATTTGGAGGTGAGCAGTCAGCTTCAAGCCCCTGCCGCTTTACCCCCGGGGAAAGAGCCCCCGATACCCATTGGATAGGTCAGGTGAACCCCAGAGCCGGTCTGGACGGCTTGGAGAAGAGAAAATTCTTGCCCCTCCCGGGACTCGAAATCCTATCCTCGGTTGTCCAGCCCGTTGTCAGTCGACATTAAGATATATGTCCGACTTCATATGCTCAGGAAAGGTGTGGATAGAATAATACTGGGGATACCAACATTGTCCATGCTAGGTGCAAAGACTGAACATCTATAAAATTTTGACAGGTGCTGTACCAACGGCCCAATATCGCAGTTGGGACGGTAAATAAGAAGGCAAATGACAGGGCATAGCTTGCTGACCCTAACAGCTTCCGCTAATTTGGTACATCACAGTAACTGTGTTTTTTAGAGAAAATGTCCTTACTCAGACTAAACCAGACGAACTAGTGAACTTAGAACAAAATGGCGATATATTTATGATTTATGACTCAGAAATATATGGTTAGTTGTTGCCGGATTTGCCATTTTAAAAGTGATTTTACCAGTATCCCTAAGTCTGTTAGCTATGAAACCAACCGGATGGTTGGAGGAAGTACATAGTTAGTGAACAAGAATTACTTTCATAAGTTGGTACCTATGTGAATGGCACAGTTCGCCGTGCAGGGAGTGCGAGTCCATGGCGATCGGCCCCTCTACTCTGATGACCACCTGGTGTTGCCGCTGCTGAAGTTGCTAGGTCGTAGCTGGTTTCGGCTCCACCGCTTCTTCCTTCAGTTGAGGTGATTAGTGGTTAGAGTTCAGGATTGGATCCGATAATATGGGCGCCAGCAAACAGCTGGAGGCTGTTTACGATTCGATAGTAAGTGGTGAAGGGGTGAGCATGTGGAAGCTGAAGGTGGGTTTGACTAGCTGGTGGAGATGAGTCTCTCTTCAGGTCGAATACGGGTCAGGCTCGGACAAGTGAGGGTGAAACACCTCTGATCAACACAATGCACTGTACACCACAACACTTTATTGTTATTCCTGCTATTAACATGAGACAACTTTCATCATTGCCATTAGACTTGATACACTGGATTTAGGCACTAATAGCTATTGGTCACGTGACTGACTGCACACTTAGTGAGTATGGTTCGAGCTGTGGAGTATAGCTTACTTCCTAAAGACACTTGGCTGCGTAAATTCTCACAACCTGATTTAGTTTCGGCTGACAAGTCTCGGGTGTTACACTTGCACAAAATGCACTCGATCAGCTCGCCAAATTCCTTTGTGCCGCGCTCTTGTGGATGAAGCTAAATCTCACTATGAGTTGTTATGATAGCAAAAATTTGTACTTCTTAGAGTTATCTTTTAGCGCGTGTGATGTGGGGTTTGCCTCCGCCAAGTTCAACAGTTGATAGACGACTCGACTTAGACTGACCCCTCTGCCGAGCCAGAGGTCCTAACTGAGCTGTATCTGCCAATTCTCCTCTCCTCCTAATTTCCCTGATAGGCTGATTTAAATAAGGGGAGTTGGCTTAATTTTGGTTCCGGCCAATGACAGATTGTTTTTAAGGGAATTTCGCCCTAAAAGACAAAACGGCGAAGTTGACAGCCATGCAATTTATGAGGGGTCGCTAATGATCTTCTGGCATTCCCACTTTTGACCTACGACTGGTAGAAACTGTCACCTCTCGAATTCTCAAAGTGTCTTGCCGTTGTCAGGCTAATTCTACATTTTTAAAGAATCTCAGTGGGGTTTCTTGAAGTATCAGTTTCTGCCCTTTTTGGAAAATAACACCAGATGCTTGGACGTAAGGACTAGCAGATGTCCTTGTCCCCGCAAGTTTGGTCTATCTGCTCATCGCCTATTCCTTGTTATTACAGTGTGTCTTAAAGTTTTGTTTCTTCATAAATTCTTATTATTAAACTCTTTTAGCTCCTGAAAAAATGGGGGGGGGAAAGGATTTCGATGGTGCGGTTACAGAACGTCACAACGTAATGCATGCAGGCCTATGGTAGTGGGTAAGGGCACAGTTCACAGCCCACAGGCGACTTCGGTTATTAAACCGAAGGAACAGAATCATTATCATCTTTTTTTTAAATGCCATTAAATTATTTGCAGACGTGGAATTTAACGTATAGAAGTAAAAGTCTCTTTTTTTTGTATCTTTATATCAACCGAGACTTGTGTAGTTAACAGACAACAAACATTCCATACGAAATAAAGGAAAACATTTCACCGGCGCACCCATATAAATCTGAATAGAACAATATTTCCTCACGATCCAAAAGCTTGTAACGCTTGTATACCGACACAATTGCTGACTATTTGAACGTTAGCCATCGTTTTGTTTTTATTTTCAAAAACAATGCATCTGAAACTCGATACCCTCCTTCTCTGTTTGGTCCAATCGATAGAGCTAGCCCAACTGAGTAGGTTTTACCCGAAAAGGTAGATAGAATCCCGTCTCCAAAACGTTGTGTTTTGAAAAATAAACATGACGGTATTTTTAGATAAAGACAAGACAGTTGATAATGTCCAGAAACCTAATATTTGTACTAATGTACCATCGTCACAATCTTCTACAATGAAAGTATTGTTTGAAAAAGAAAGATTCACGGTTTAAGAGTAGGCCATGTGGGCCTATAGTGCACAAGAGTGAAGTGTGTGCAGAGGAAGAAGGAAGCAACATGCCGCACGTTGCAATTGTAATCCTCTGTGGACGATGAAGAAGGTAGACGAAAGCAGATTGACAAGTAGCCACTAGGCCCTACGGATAGCGGTGGGACTCAAACGAAAGGGACTGCAGCGACTGGGATGAAATTAAATCTGTGCGGGTTAAAAGGTAATAAAAGTTGTCCCTGTGCCTAACTAAATTAAGCACTCGCCATAAAGACGTATGGAGGGGTGAATGTAAAGATCCACGTATTCTTGACTTCGCCTTTAGTTGGTTTTCAAAGATCAACTTCACTGCCTGGTCGCTTTACCCCAGGGGAAAGAGCCCTCGGTATCCATTGGATAAGAGGCTGTGTGGGCCCCAGGGCCGGTCTGGACGACATAGAGAGGAGAAAAATCTTGCTCCTACCGGGACTCAAACTCCGACCCCTCGGCCGTCCACTCCATAGCCAATCGCTATACCGACTGCACTCTTCCGGCTCTTCTAACTGTCCTGGGTTCGAGCACATGTCACTGAGATGAAGAAACTAAAAGCGTTGCATATTGATGTGAAACAATCAGTCCTTTGTAATGTGTCCTAGAATCCGTAGCTTCAAGGGGCACTGTAAAATGTTAAGTGATTGTGAATAATAAATTAGAAATGCGGAGTTCTCACAGCGGTGGTTATGAAGTCTTCTATGTCCTGGGACAGAAGGCCATGTAGTCCGTTGAAAATTAACAGACGTTTCGGAGGCACATGTCGCCTCCGTTTTTTGGGGAGGGCCGAAGAATAAGCCAGACGAGAGCTCTTCTTGCTACCTGCTTCAATGTTGTTGGATCTATATATATAAAATTTGTGGGAATTATTTTTACCCCATGGTACCGGCTCTGCAGCTTTAAAATTTTACTATTCTTTCTTAACCAATGGGCCTAATTTCCATGGAACTGGCTGCGAGATGCTTCATCTGTTGCTATATTCCCACTTTTAGTAAAGGAAATGAAGTACTGACATCATAGTAGAGCCTTCACAGAAAGTCTGACACTCACTCAGCTAGCCTAAGAAAAGCGGCTTCCGTAGTCTAAGGGTAACGTTCCCACCTCATGACTCAAGGTACGCGGGTTCAAAACCGGCGGAGACCTCTGAGCTAAATTAGGCAAAAAGTTTCCCGCCCAAGTAGTTTCCAAGTGTCTCTGGTAGATGGGGGAAGCATCAGGTACCACGTGCCAGAAGAGGACCGACCTCGCTGGCAAAGTGGGGCTGAAGCATTAGGTACCACGTGGCAGAAGAGGGCCGACCTCGCTGGCAAAGTGGGGCTAATAGCAAAGCACCAGTACCGGTAGGGTATGGGGACAGTAGAAATTAAAGGGGGACGCACAATGGACCAATAACTGGTCTAAGTGCATGGGGAAACCCACCCACTCTAATAATGAATGAATGAATAAATGAATGAATGAATGAATGAAATAGCCAAGGAAAAGACGAATGCTGAATACTGAATATTGATATTGAGAATTCTTGTTACATTTGCAACATCAGACGCATTTTGCTTGAATAATCTCCCTTGATTTATTACGAATATTACGTGAACAGTTAAGAATTAGGTAGTTCCACAATGTGCAAATTCCTCAGCGTTCATTTTTCTCCGGTAAAGACACGGTCTTCAGCGTTCTGGGTTCAAATCCACTTAATTTGTGTTTTTCAGAGGTAAAGGTGAAGCTGTCCCTGTGCTTAACTAATTAAGCACTACACCATGAAAGCGTATGGGGGAGTTGATGTATACATCCACATTTTCTTGACCTCGGAACTAGCTGGAGGTGAGTGGTTGGCTTCACGCCCCAGCCGCTTTACCCCCGGTACCTATTGGATAGGTTGGGTGGACCCCAGTGCCGGTCTGGAAGATGTGAAGAAGAGAAAATCCTTGACCATACCGGGACTCGAACTCCAACCCCACGGTCGTCAAGTCCATGCATTTCAGAGACAGTTGTATTTATTTAAATATACATCGGAGGGGGTCGAAGAAAAATTGCATATTCTCGAGCTATAATCGATATTCGTTGTCTCACAAATGATTACTTAGCACTGTTTTATATTCTGCAGTAGAACAATTCTTAAAATAAAAATTATAATTTCAGCAAAATTTTTAAAGGAATAAATTTCTGTAACCCTATCCTTATATTTCTACGGAAATTTAGCTCTTGATTTACGCGTTCTTAACTTAATGGTCAACTCCTATGAAAGCGAATACCCATCATGTAAATCAATGCCTGCAAGTCTTTCTGTACTATTCGTATTCTTGCATATATCCATATACAGGTAAATAGAGGCTCCTTGAAATGACCAATTCAACTCGACGTATGTGCTACTGGACAACTCAGTTATGGGCTCCTGGTCCTCCTACTTAATTATATTGAAGTAACAAAACAATTTCTCAGAATTAGAGGTTATGATTAAGCAACTTATTAATCCATCAATCAATCTGAAAGGAAATAAAGTAAACATTACCATCCATCTTACAGAAATGACAGAAGGAGTCAGTAGGACAAGACTTGTTGCATAGAATGTGACGATATCTCACTTCACAATCTGTCACGAGGGTCACGAGATCCATGCGCCCTGGGGAAAGGACACGTATAATTTCCTTACAGGCCTATGAGATCGACAAAAATCGTCCCGCGATCGACGCGTTGGACATGACTGCTCTCTCTCTCTCTCTCTATATATATATATATATGTATCTGGAACACACAACAGGATGCAACCAATGAAGGTTAAATTTCAATTCGCCTAATATTTTTAGTGACTACTTTAACAGTCTTCACGGCGATAGGGTTTCTTTTCGTGTGCAGTCTCTTCCTTGCTCTGCTATACGATAACTGGATTGTAAGCCACGGAGTTCGATGTTATATAATAATAATTAATAATAGTAATATTATAATAATAAACTTAACGTAGCTACATGGCTTCTTTGAGTAGTGTTCTACAAGAACTTATTTAAACATTGGATTTTATATTGTTCTTTCTTTACAACTTTCTTGAAGACATGCACTAATTAAAATTTATAAAC